TTTTGTTCTAGTTCTGTGAAAAATGCCAGTGGTAGTTTGATAGGGACTGCATTGAATCTGTAGATTGCTTTGAGTAGTAGAGTCATTTTCACAATGTCAGTTCTTCCAATCCAAGAACATGGTATATCTCTCCATTTGTTTGTATCATCTTTAATTTCTTTCATCAGTGTCTTATAATTTTCTGCATACAGGTCTTTTGTCTCATTAGGTAGGCTTATTCCTAGATATTTTATTCTTTATGTTGCAATGGTAAATTGGAGTGTTTCCTTAATTTAACTTTCAGATGTTTCATCCTTAGTGTATAGGAATGCAAGAGATTTCTGTGCATTAATTTTGTATCCTGCTACTTTACCAAATTCATTGATTAGCTCTAGTAGTTTTCTGGTAGCATCTTTAGGATTCTCTATGTAGAGTATCATGTCATCTGCAAACAGTGACAGCTTTACTTCTTCTTTTCTGATTTGGATTCCTTTCTTTTCTCTTTCTTCTCTGATTGCTGTGGCTAAAACTTCCAAAACTATGTTGAATAATAGTGGTGAGAGTGGGAAGCCTTGTCTTTTTCCTGATCTTAGTGGAAATGTTTTCAGTTTTTCACCATTGAGGACGATGTTGGCTGTGGGTTTGTCATATATGACCTTTATTATGTTGAGGAAAGTTCCCTCTATGCCTACTTTCTGCAGGGTTTTTATCATAAATGGGTGTTGAATTTTGTTGAAAGCTTTTTTTGCATCTATTGAGATGATCATATGGTTTTTCTCCTTCAATTTGTTAATATGGTGTATCACATTGATTGATTTGCATATATTGAAGAATCCTTGCATTCCTGGAATAAACCCCACTTGATCATGGTGTATGATCCTTTTAATGTGCTGTTGGATTCTGGTTGCTAGTATTTTGTTGAGGATTTTTGCATCTCTTTTCATCAGTGATATTGGCCTGTAGTTTTCTTTCTTTGTGACATCTTTGTCCGGTTTTGGTATCAGGGTGATGGTGGCCTCATGGAGTGAGTTTGGGAGTGTTCTTCCCTCTGCTATATTTTGGAAGTGTTTGAGAAGGATATGTGTTAGCTCTTCTCTAAATGTTTGATAGAATTCTCCTGTAAAGCCATCTGGTCCTGGGCTTTTGTTTTTTGGAAGATTTTTAATCACAGTTTCAATTTCAGTGTTTGTGATTGGTCTGTTTATATTTTCTATTTCTTCCTGGTTCAGTCTTGGCAGGTTGTGCATTTCTAAGAATTGTCCATTTCTTCCAGGTTGTCCATTTTATTGGCATAGAGTTGTTTGTAGTAATCTCTCACGATCCTTTGTATTTCTGCAGTGTCAGTTGTTACTTCTCCTTTTTCATTTCTAATTCTATTGATTTGAGTCTTCTCCCTTTTTTTCTTGATGAGTCTGGCTAATGGTTTATCAATTTTGTTTATCTTCTCAAAGGACCAGTTTTTAGTTTTATTGATCTTTGCTATCATTTCCTTCATTACTATTTCATTTATTTCTGATCTGATCTTTATGATTTCTTTCCTTCTGCTAACTTTGGGTTTTTGGTCTTCTTTCTCTAATTGCTTTAAGTGCAAAGTTAGGTTGTTTATTTGAGATGTTTCCTGTTTTTAAGGTAGGATTGTATTGCTATAAACTTCCCTCTTAGAGCTGCTTTTGCTGCATACCATAGGTTTTGGGTCATCGTGTCTCCATTGTCATTTGTTTCTAGGTATTTTTTGATTTTCTCTTTGATTCCCTCAGTGATCTTTGTTATTAAGTAGTGTATTGTTTAGCCTCCATGTGTTTGTATTTTTTACAGATCTTTTCCTGTAATTGATATCTAGTCTCATAGCGTTGTGGTTGGAAAAGATACTTGATATGATTTCAATTTTCTTAAATTTATCAAGGCTTGATTCGTGACCAAAGATATGATCTATCCTGGAGAATCTTCCATGAGCACTTGAGAAAAATGTGTATTCTTTTGTTTTTGGATGGAATGTCCTATAAATATCAATTAAGTCCATCTTGTTTAATGTATCATTTAAAGCTTGTGTTTCCTTATTTATTTTCATTTTGGATGATCTGTCCATTGGTGAAAGTGGGGTGTTAAAGTCCCTACTATGATTGTGTTACTGTCTATTTCCCCTTTTATGGCTGCTAGTGTTTGCCTTATGTATTGAGGTGCTCCTATGTTGGGTGCATATATATTTACAATTGTTATATCTTCTTCTTGGATGGATCCCTTGATCATTATGTAGTGGCCTTCTTTGTCTCTTGTAATAGTCTTTATTTTAAAGTCTATTTTGTCTGATATGAGAATTGCTACTCCAGCTTTCTTTTGATTTCCATTTGGATGCAATATCTTTTTCCATCCCCTTACTTTCAGTCTGTATGTGTCCCTAGGTCTGAAGTGGGTCTCTTGTAGACAGCACATATATGGGTCTTGTTTTTGTATCCATTCAGCCAGTCTATGTCTTTTGGTGGGAGCATTTAAGCCATTTACATTTAAGGTAATTATCGATATGTATGTTCCTATTCCCATTTTCTTAATTGTTTTGGGTTTGTTATTGTAGATCTTTTCCTTCTCTTGTGTTTCTTGCCTAGAGAAGTTCCCTGAGCATTTGTTGTAAAGCTGGTTAGGTGGTGCTGAACTCCCTCAGCTTTTTCTTGTCTGTAAAGGTTTCAATTTCTCCACCAAATCTGAATGAGATCCTTGCTGGGTAGAGTAATCTTGGTTGTAGGTTTTTCTCCTTCATCATTTTAAATATGTCCTGCCATTCCCTTCTGGCTTGCAGAGTTTCTGCTGAAAGATCAGCTGTTAACCTTATGGGGATTCCCTTGTGTGTTGTTTTTCCCTTGCTGCTTTTAATATGTTTTCTTTGTATTTAATTTTTGATAGTTTGATTAATATGTGTCTTGGTGTTTTTCTCCTTGGATTTATCCTGTATGGGACTCTCTGTGCTTCCTGGACTTGATTAACTATTTCCTTTCCCATATTAGGGAAGTTTTCAACTATAATCTCTTCAAATATTTTCTCAGTCCCTTTCTTTTTCTCTCCTTCTTCTGGGACCCCTATAATTCGAATGTTGGTGCATTTTATGTTGTCCCAGAGGTCTCTGAGACTGTCCTCAGTTCTTTTCATTCTTTTTTCTTTATTCTGCTCTGCAGTAGTTAATTCCACTATTTTATCTTCCAGGTCACTTATCCATTCTTCTGCCTCAGTTATTCTGCTATTGATCCCTTCTAGAGTATTTTTCATTTCATTTATTGTGTTGTTCATCGTTGCTTGTTTCCTCTTTAGTTCTTCTAGGTCCTTGTTAAATGTTTCTTGCATTTTCTCTATTCTATTTCCAAGATTTTGGATCATCTTTACTATCATTATTCTGAATTCTTTTTCAGGTAGACTGCCTATTTCCTCTTCATTTGTTAGGTCTGGTGGGTTTTTACCTTGCTCCTTCATCTACTGTGTGTTTTTCTGTCTTCTCATTTTGCTTATCTTACTGTGTTTGGGGTCTGCTTTTTGCAGGCTGCAGGTTCGTAGTTCCCATTGTTTTTGGTGTCTGTCCCCAGTGGCTAAGGTTGGTTCAGTGGGTTGTGTAGGTTTCCTGGTGGAGGGGACTAGTGCCTGTGTTCTGGTGGATGAGGCTGGATCTTGTCTTTCTGGTGGGCAGGTGCACGTCTGGTGGTGTGTTTTGGGGTGTCTGTGGCCTTATTATGATTTTAGGCAGCCTCTCTGCTAATGGATGGGGCTGTGTTCCTGTCTTGCTCGTTGTTTGGCATAGGGTGTCCAGCACTGTAGCTTGCTGGTCGTTGAGTGAAGCTGGGTCTTGGTGTTGCGATGGAGATCTCTGGGAGATTTTCGCCATTTGATATTATGTGGAGCTGGGAGGTCTCTTGTGGACAAGTGTCCTGAAGTTGGCTCTCCCACCTCAGAGGCACAGGCACTGACTCCTGGCTGCAGCACCAAGAACCTTTCATCCACACGGCTCAGAATAAAAGGGAAAAAAAAATAGAAAGAAAGAAAGAAAGAGGATAAAATAAAATAAAGTAAGATAAAATAAAATAACGTTATTAAAATAAAAAATAATTATTAAGAAAAAAAAATTTTTTTAAAGTAAAAAAAACCCAAAGAAATAAAAAAAAAATGGATGGACAGAAGAGTCCTAGGACAAATGGTGAAAGCAAAGCTATACAGACAAAATCTCACACAGAAGCATATACATAAACACTCACAAAAAGAGGAAAAGGGGAAAAAATAATATATCTTGCTCTCAAAGTCCACCTCCTCAATTTGGGATGAATCATTGTCTATTCAGGTATTCCACAGATGCAGGGTACATCAAGTTGATTGTGGAGATTTAATCCGATGCTCCTGAGGCTCCTGGGAGGGATTTCCCTTTCCCTTCTTTGTTGGCACAGCTCTCGGGGTTCAGCTTTGGATTTGGCCCCGCCTCTGCGTGTAGGTTGCCTGAGGGCGTCTGTTCTTCGCTCAGCCAGGACGGCGTTAAAGGAGCCACTGATCCGGGGGCTCTGGCTCACTCAGGCCGGGAGGAGGGAGGGGCGCGGAGGGCGGGGCGAGCCTGCGGCGGCAGAGGCCGGCGTGACGTTGCAGCAGCCTGAGGCGCGCCGTGCGTTCTCCCGGGGAAGTTGTCCCTGGGTCACAGGACCCTGGCAGTGGCGGGCTGCACAGGCTCCCTGAAGGGGAGGTGTGGAGAGTGACCTGTGCTTGCACACAGGCTTCTTGGCAGCGGCAGCAGCAGCCTTAGCGTTTCATGCCCGTCTCTGGGGTCCGCGCTGTTAGCCGCGGCTCGCGCCCATCTCTGGAGCTCCTTTAAGCGGCGCTCTTAATCCCCTTTCTTCGCGCACCAGGAAACAAAGAGGCAAGAAAAAGTCTCTTGCCTCTTCGGCAGCTCCAGACCTTTTCTCGGACTCCCTCCCGGCTAGCCGTGGTGCACTAACCCCCTGCAGGCTGTGTTCACGCCGCCAACCCCAGTCCTCTCCCTGCGCTCCGACGGAAGCCCGAGCCTCAGCTCCCAGCCCCGCCCGCCCCGGCGGGGGAGCAAACAAGCCTCTCGGCCTGCTGAGTGCCGGTCGGCCCACCATGTTTTTTGAGAGGATAGAAGTGAGGGAGAAGATATTGGGAGAGAAGTGAAGAATTTTCTGATCTACTTTTGGCTGGATGAGGCTGCTCTAGTTCCTGAGACAAAGTATGGTAGGCCACTAATGTTTTTTTTACATCCAGTTCCATCAGCCTTGTACTTAGTAGAAATCCATACTTAGTGGAGTTAGAATTCTGACCACAGGTTATCTGCTGAACTTAGGTTTTGGTTTTGTGGTGAGTTTTCCTTTTTTATGTGTTTATGTGTATTTTAGTGGGATATTAGGAGAAATTGCATTAGATAACTAAACAGATGCCATTTTTAATTGGAATGATGTAGAGTTTTTATCTGCTGAGCTAGCAAATTGCTCATATCCTGCCTTGTTTCAAGTAACAGAGGAGTAGCTGTGGGAGGCACGGAGTGGCCTAAGTACAGCCCTTATCTGTCTGGTGTGGGAGGAAAGGGAGCCCACTCTTCAGTTTGGGATTGTGTGATGTCGACTGTCTGGCCACATGGGGAATGGGATGCGGATGTTAACACAAGTTCAGATGGATACTGGTGTTATGCCATGATTCCATTTAGGAAAAGGGGGAGCTATTCTTTGACTGATTCATGAAGTATTTAGGAGAGTGTCTGGCAGATAGGAAGCGCTATAAGTGTTTTTGAATCAAACAACCCTATGAGGTAGGTACTATTATCATACCCATTTTATAGATGAGGAAACTGAGGTTCTGTAATTTGCCTAAGGTCACACATTTAATAGAAGGTAGAGTCTGGGTCCACCTCCAGGCAGCTTTGTTCAAGATCTCCCATTCTTAACCACTTGTCAATTGCCATACTTGAAAATCATTTGGGATTCTGCCCTGGGCCTCGTTGAGACCACATTAGTCATCCCAAAATGGAAGACAAATCAGCAGAATTGCTTTTGTTCCCATCAAACGAGGTTTATTAGAAAACCCTCTCAAGTCTTAATGCTGCCGTTGAGAGTGTCGTCTCTTAAACTGGAAACACCAATTTTCCATCTCTCCCCAGGCATAACTGTTGTTCCCTGGAGCAGAATAAAAGGTAAATATACCATGAACTCTTTTGGCAAGGTTCATGAGGTATATGATACCTATACAGACATGTACATACATATACATATATATATTAATATATCTGTGGATGCCTTTCTTCTTTAGGCACCATTATATTCTGAGCACCTTGAATCAGTTTTTTGACTTGGTAGAGATTTTATGTGTGGAATTTAACTGAGCCTTAGCCACTCTCTCTTCCCCTTATGAAGTGTAGCTGCATCACCATTTCATGCTTATGTAGGTAAAATATCAACATAGGTCAGAGGGATCTACCTATGGAGACATCTGCTCCCTGAAGCCCCATGAGTCATCGCCGGGCCATGAAGTGAGTGGGAGAAACATTTGCTCAGCACATAGACTCTGACTGCTGTGCAGGCAGAACCAGGCCACTGGGAGAGAGGGAGCAGCCCAGCGACAACCGGGCTGCAGGCGGCCAGAGGCAGCGTTCTAGCAAACAGCGTCTCGTCTCTCCCCTACTCCTTCCCTAATAGGAGTGGATCCATGCTGCGATAGGTGAGATAGCACACAGGCAGATTGTCCACCAGATGGTACAATCTTCTATTTAAGAAATATTTGAAAGGGCAACAAAATACAGCAGAAACCATCCGACAGTCCACATGGCTAATGCAAAATTAGCCAAAATGATGGCAGCGGCAGTAATGGGGGTGTTGTGAGGTGAGATGTAGGCAAGGCTAAGGGGAGACAAGCATGGTGATGTCTGGTGGGGCAGGTGTCCGTAGAGTTTGAGATGCTTCTCCGTCATTGCACTGTGGGGCTTTGATGTGCTTCTCTGAACCCCGATTTGTAGCCTGGCTTTGAGAATTGCCATGGTCAACGGTGATGGGCACAGCTGTGGTGATCCAGCCCAGCCTGTGTCTCATGACCTGGGGAGATCGCTTGTGTTCTCATTCTGGGTGCAGTGGAACTTTGGTGTCATTACTAGTCTGTGGTTCTTTTCTCATTTCCGTATCTCTGTCAAATGGCCTTTCCTTAATGTCATTCCGTTGTGGCACTATTCATACAAAACTCTACACATCGTCATGAGCATTATCGTGGCTATTAATTGAGCTTTTGTTTTGCTCCAAGTGGGGAGCTAAACACTCCACCTAATAATAGTTAATATACGTTGAGTGGTCACTATATACCAGGGACTGGTTGGAGTGATTTACATATATTGTCTCATTTAATGCCTACAACAAATGAAATAAGTACTATTATTTTAATTTTACACATGGAAAAGGGAGGCCTGGAGATCTTAAGTTATTTTCCCAAGGCTACATGGTTATTAAGAGGAGGAATTTGTCTTCTCCAGAGTCAGTGCTTTTAAATGCTGGGCTCTACTGCCTCTGATATGTACATTTTCTTTTTTCGTTCTTATGACCGCCCTATAAAGATGTTGTCATCATTCCTAAAACAGAGAGAGTTAAAGGAATTCCCTGGGGTCACAGGTCTCAGAGTCAAATCTCTGTTGTTGTTGTTGTTGTTCTCTGGTTTTATTGAGAAATAATTGACATAAATCACTGTATAAGTATAAAGTGTATAACATGTTGGTTTGATCGACATATATTGTAAAATGATTGCCATAATAGGTTTAGTTAACATCTGTTATCTCAGAGAGATACAGTAAAAAGAAAAAAAATTTTCCTTGTGATGAGATCTCTAAGGATCTAATCTCTTAACAACTTTCCTATATAACATACAGCAGAATTAACTATAGTTATCATGCTGTACATCCTTAGTACTTATTTATCTTATGCTTGGAAATTTGTACCTTTTGACCACCTTGCTCCCATTCTTCCTCCCTTGCCTCTCGTAATCTGATCTCATTTTTTGTGAGTTTGTTTTTTTTTAGATTCCATGTATAAGTGAGATCATAACAGTATTCATCTTTCTTGGTCAAGTTTGTCTTACTTCACAGCTCGCGACTGGCCCCCAGGCTAGACCCTCTCCCTTCCGCCAGCTTCTCTAAATCCCCCTCTTTCTCCGCACCGGCTTCCTCAGCAGCCATGCTTGAAACTCTGAGACATATTGACATTGTATTTTGTTACTTATCAAGTCTTATTTCTTCTTCTTTCAGGGCATCCCCTTTCTCATTCCTTTCTTCTCCATCTCCATTGTTACGACACAGTCCAGACAAGGTTTCTTGGCCCTCACAGTGGTAGTAAAAGGTTTTCCACTGGTTGTTGGTTTCCACACAACAAATGGTGTGTCGCTCCATATTGTGCCGTGACTTCTAGGCACGAGCCTCAGAGACACGCTCTGCCATCCTATATTCAAGAGGTAGCTGAACGATAGGATGGCTTTCGCTACTAACTTGTCCCTAAAACTACAAAAGAAGAGATTTCTGTGTGTCTCTGTGTGTACATACATTCACCACAGCCTAAAAATGTAAAACTTTGGGCATGTTTTCCATTAAAATGTATAAATCCATTTATATGTCAGTACATTTAAAAGGGTGACATTATGAGTAGGGATAACTGTCATCATTTTTGTACTGGGCTCCCAGGAGAGAGCTGTTGTCTCATAGGGGCAGGCCATCTTTCTGTTGAAGGCTTCATGTTGACCATCATAGAGGGCATGTTGGGAGTTTGGATGTTTTTGTTTTTGTTTTTGTTTTTGCGGTACGCAGGCCTCTCACTGCTGTGGCCTCTCCCGTTGCGGAGCACAGGCCCCGGACGCGCAGGCTCAGCGGCCATGGCTTACAGGCCCAGCTGCTCCGTGGCATGTGGGATCCTCCCGGACCGGGGCACGAACCCACGTCCCCTGCATCGGCAGGCGGACTCTCAACCACTGCGCCACCAGGGAAGCCCTGGATGTTTAATTCTTGGGATTCAGTAAGGTGTCATTATTCACAGATGTCTTCCTGGGAATTACAACAGATGATGGAACAGAAATGGGATTGACTAACCCATGGACCTTGTATCACAAGAGCAGAAAGAAATAAAAACCCCTGTGTTTTCCATCCCCCGAGGGCTCGGTCTGTTCTCAGGCCTGCGCCTCTTTCTGTTTTCTTCTCTGGAGGGTTCCAGTATCCAGCATCTCTGTGTTAATTAACTCAGCATGTGACACAGAAAGGACTGACAGCATATAGCTGATGTTTTGGATATGCACACAGTTTAAGGATTAGCTCCATTCCAAAGGACAACTTAATATTGCCACAGTACAGTTGTTACTTGTTGATCCGAGGCAAACTTCGAGTTCTGGGCAAACTTCCTTCTGTCACCATCATGCATGTGGACCTCCACTCCTCTCTCACAGGCTTTAGATGTTCAGGCAAAGCAAATCAGTTTTACTATTTTGATTCAACCTAAATAAAATCAGGATGGAGTCTAAAAAAATGGTACTGATGAACCTAGGGGCAGTGCAGGAATAAAGACACAGACATAGAGAACGGACTTGAGGACACAGAGGGGGAAGGGAAAGCTGGGACGAAGTGACAGAGTGGCATGGACATATATACACTACCAAATGTAAAACAGCTAGTGGGAAGCAGCCACATAGCACAGGGAGATCAGCTTGGTGCTTTGTGACCACCTAGAGGGGTGAGATAGGGAGGGTGGGAGGGAGACACAAGAGGGAGGAGATATGGGGATGTATGTATATGTATAGCTGATTCACTTTGTTATAAAGCAGAAACTAACACAACACTGTAAGGCAATTATACTCCAATGAAGATGTTTAAATAAAAAACAAAAAAAGAAAACATACATTTAAGACTTCAAATTTTGACCCAATCTCATGGCCATTACCTGACCAAATATATGAGTTAACTTATTTGAAGTAACTCAAATAAAATAATTACCTATTCATAAAGAAAAATAAATAAATAAAAGCAGGAAGATGCATCCTACAGTTGCCAATAAAAACCAACACTGCCCCCACCCACCCCACCAGTGCACTGAGTTATCTGTGCCAGTGCTTGTTTCTTCCACTATGAGGAATTCATACAATATATTAAAAGCATATATAATATAGAAAATAAACTTATGGTGCAGTTTCACATATAAGGTACCCCCAAAGCCAAATTCCTTTGGCTAGGTGTGTGATAAGAAACCAGCATGATATGGAAATCCTGTGGCTTGATTTCTGGCATTTTTTAAGCATCGAGTAATGCAAAGTTTGCAAAATGGCAGCCCACAGGCCACATGTGGCCTCTTGACATGCTTAAGTTGGCTTTGCCTGGTGTTCTTAAAAAGCTGTAATTGAAAATATGGGGAGTTTTTGTTTTTAATTTGAATTTCTGGGTGTTCTTGCTCTAGGTTTGTGCTTGCTCATGGCAATAATTGATAGGCGCTCAGCACCACTGTCCCTCTAGGGAATGGGCGACACGTAACAAGGTGCCAAATTCAACTCAAGTGCATGAAGTTTGAAATTTCAATTCCTAAACCCCAGAGTTTGCTTTCTTGTTGTTCTGCCAACCCTGTTTGCTACATCTCCCACTTACTTCCTGATAGTTTCTTGTCAATTTTGCTCAAGGTAGGCTGTGAAATAGGACAAACTGGGTGGATTTGTTCAGGGCTCCTCTTAGACTCACTTTTTATTTAACTTTTACAAAGTGGACTCTTCACTAACGTTGACCAAATGCCCAGAAATCACCTGGTGAGCTCCTTTTAAAAAATCAAAACAAGCAAGCAGACATAAAATATGTGGAAAGGCTGACAAATTTAGCCGTTTGGCATGGCATTTAAAAATGGATATAGCAACATTTTTAATGTACTCTTTCAAATGTCATGACAGCTGTCCAAATTTGTAATTTTAAAATATATTTTATGTTATCACATACATTTGCTCTACACTTTATCAAATATATGACTAATACGGGAAAACAAATATGTTTGCCACCCGGCTGACTCATGATCCTTGTTGGAAACTCTTTGAAGGATCCACAAAAAGCCCCTTGTGACAGAAAAAAGGGGCCCCTATGCTAGCACTTTTTTTTTTTTCTCCAGAGAATTTGTTCAGGGATCAGTTTTGTTTCTCCTTGGGATG